AACGTTTCTCCTTGAAAGTCACGTAAACCCCAAATCGCAATCAAATGCTACTATAATTCCGCATGCATATGTAATGCGGCACATTCAAAGATATGATTCTCGCACGGAACCTTATATCTTGGGCCTTAGCGCGTAGCGGTCCTCATTTTCTGCGTGAATAACAGACCTTGTTGTTTATTAGCTTAGTCAAAAACCAACATGACGTCAGCATGCGGAAACTTCTGCTGTCGAGACTTAAAGGCACAGACCCGGCAGAAGTCGTGTCTTTACTGCCGGCCCATTTGGCAACTTTACATTTACGTGTGCAAGAGCCACACCAATGTGATCCTGGGGCACGCCTTCAAAAGCACGAGTTGCAACTAGTTCCTCAGATTAATGCTCCTCTTAGTAAGGTGGCAGGGAGCCTATCCAAGAGTGGGGCTAACGCCATGGCCTGGCCGCTGTCACCTCCGTCATTCTCATCAGTTACGTCATAAGTGTATCTGTGCCGTCCCGCGTACGACATGCTCTCTAACATTTCTCCTCGCAACGCTGCAGCGATGTGCCGCTCTGTCGTACCACGTCGATCTCACCAGGAAAATATCATGGTTTTTATATGCACTTTCTGTTTCCAATGTTCCTGAGCACATCTTGTCCAATTTTCAGACAAAACAACGCACCCGTTCTATCGCGACCTATGCAACAAACAAGAATGAATCATAGCATCTGTAAGAAACGAAGAGGAAGGGATAAGAGGGAATGATAGCGAGGAAAGGGCGTTCACACTCACAAACACATGATGATACTTCGAGCATGTGCTATTTTAAGACACGTTCATAGTGCACTAGTCCCCGGTGGCAATCGGGACAGGTGATCAAGAATGGTCGAAATGAAGAAATGTGACAGAATATGACCAGTAGCAACTTGGTAGTTCGCGCAGTGCCTATGCTGCTCGGAGTTTCTTTTTTAGCTTCACATAAATTGTCAAACATCAGTTTATGCGGGCTTGGTCACAACGAATAAAATCGCGGCTTAAATTGCTTCACAGGAGGAAAGGTGAAAATATTGCCAATAAAAAATGCGGACCTTTTGTCTTGTCAATGTGATCATCTCGTCAAGGTCATTCCATGAATTGCCCTCTTGTGAAAGGATCATCTTCAGTGGTTCTGACCAGTCGAAATTCGAACGACCTCCACACCATCGAGAAAGTTCCTTGCGATTTTGTGGAAGATAGTCAGCTAGATGAACCTGCAAACATTCTCTTCATCGCTTTAGTAGGAGATGAAAGAAATAAAAAAGTAAAGTCCCAGTAACTGTTATGTACTGTATGCCAAACGAAAGCTCTAAGGTGGAATAAACTGGTATAAAATGCATAACAATTACAGTACTACGACAAATAGACGAGGTTTCAATAATGACATGGAGATTACTAAATCATAGTGAATAACAGGCCATCTATACGGGGTTTCAGAGAGATTGTGAGACTAGATATTCTGTCAAGCCGAATAGCATTTTTAGTATGCTCTCCTAATACGGAAGCTCTTCTAGGAGCCTATATTTATTTATATATTTATTACTATGCCCTCGTAGGTGCGCTACAATAATTTGTCAGAAACCAAATCAGTTATAAATCAGAAACATGATTTAAAATAAACTTAAATCAAGCAATATTTTACCCACAAGCGGGAAGTTCTCAGAACCGATTGTTTGAAATCAATATCCAATTTCAAATGAAACTGCAGTGCATGGCGCATACCATATTGGTTGATTTTATAGTCTCTATGATTTTCTCATTCACAGACCAAATCCCTAAGACGTAACCGTGCGAATTTAAGGAAATTCCCATGCTCAGAATGTGAAACGTTTTCCTGGAAAGCGAAGACGAAATACAAAATTCAACTATTTCAGCCGATTTGGGCTGAGATACAAGTTGTAACGGCAAGTGACCCGACTTGTTGCGTGCACAGCTCCAGATGCCTAATCC